AGACATCCCCCACAATTTCTTAAAATAAGTGCCTATGGCCTGGAAGGAAGCTTGTTATTATGTAAACTCTGTCATCTCTTTTTTTCCCCTCCAATCAAAAAACTGAGTTCAAATATATACAACAGGGCTGGAGATGTAGCTTAGCGATGAAGTCCTTGACTATCATCACACACAAATGTGTGTGTGTGTGTGTGTGTGTGTGTGTGTGTGTGGTGGTGGGGGGGGTATGCATGAGTGGATGCTGGCATGCTCACCCATGTAGTTGTTTGTGGAAGCCACAAGTTGATGTCATAATATCTTTCTTCAGTCACTCTTTCTCTAGACATGTTCTTTCACTGGACCTGAAGCTCGCAGGCTCACAGGTTGGGCTAGACTGCTCCTAGCTTCCTCCTGTCTCTGCCTCCCAGAGCTGGAGTTACAGATGTATATGGCGTGTATGGTTTTTATATGGTGCTGGGGATATGAACTCAGTTCTTTAGGCAGACCATTGTGGCGGGCAAGGTATGGCAGCAGGAGTGTGAGGTGGCTGGTCACATGCCATGCACAGTCAGGAAGCAGGGAGAGATGGACGCTGGTGTTCAGTGCCCTTCTTTTCATTCAGTCCAGGATGCCAGCCCAGGGAATGGTGCTACCCACAGTTAGGGTACATTTTCTCACTTCACTCATCATAATTTAGAAAACCTCTTACAGACACACCCAGGCTTGTCTCCTGGGTGATTCTAGATGCTGTCAAGTTGGTAATCAATATTAACTCACAATCAGTACTGTCATTCTTAACCTCTTAAGAGAGATGAGACAATAGAGGGTCAGGGAACTCTTTGAACCCCGAACTCTATAGGAGAGCTCTAGCAGGAGCACCCCCTTTGAGGCTGTATAGCGGAATACAGTGCACACATGTGTTTGAGTGACAACACTTAGAAAGGCCTGCTATGGAAGCAAGTAGAACAAAAACGCTCCCAGACAGAGCTCATTAAATAAATTCTATTCGCAGCAGGCGGCTCAACCCCATTGCTGTGGGCAGTCTTCCTGTCCCCTCCTCTACCATCATCCAGGATGCGCAGGACCTAGAGGGCTTACCCATCTTCTGCCACCACAGTGTAAGGACCCCCCAGAAAATGGGCTGTGGCTTTTGGTTTTCTTAACCCCTTTGGTACCTAGGACTAGATGCCGAGAGGGGTTTCCTGATGAAGGAAGTTGGATAGTCTGAGGGAGACACTTGGAGTAAGTCTTGGCTATGAAATTCCTTCCACTTTTCAAGACTGCCGGCTCTCTAAGCAGCTACTCTGACCACACCTGCTGGTTATCAGCTGCCTCCCTTTCAAAAATACCCACAGTGGAAATAAGTCACAGGCTGCACTCTGTTAGACCTGTGTGTGCCAGACCAGCTGCTGCTTCTGATGTGGGTCGTTTTGAGTGAGTTCCCACACTCTTCAGAGCTTCTGTGGGCTTGTGTGTAAAATGTGAAGAATAGTGTCTGCCTAGTGGAGCTGTGTAAGTGTGTTAAATGCACTGTACATGAGCCAGAGTCCAATGTGGTCCCCATTACTGTGACTGCTACTGTATCATCACACTATGCTGAATGACATTGGCATACATGTCCTCTAGCCCTCCAGAGTGGTGGCTCTCAACTTCTGGGGTCTATCCCTATACTACTGACCTGCAAACTGGATCCCCAGTAGATAAGGAGGGGGTGGGGACTTATAGCTCTTTTTAAACAAGCTATACACTCTCCACATACATACATACATACATACTGCAAGAGATTGTGGTATATGCTTACCAAACTAGAAAGTTCTGCAAGACGAGTTTAATTTCCATATTCCTTTCCAAACAAATACAATGTTCCAAGACCAGTGGCTCCCAAACTGGGTTGGATTAGAGCACTGTCTCTGTCTGAGGATGAGCCCAGAGATTCTGAGGTAGGTTTGGAAAATGGTGCAGATGGGGTTTCCAAAGAGGTGGGAAGACAGGGGAGTCTAATCTCCAGGCAAGGCTGAAAACCACTGCACTGTCTGGGTCTAGAATCCACTTTTCTACAGCACTGGCCTTGAGGCGCTTTGCAGAGCAAGCCAGCTTCCATGCAGGGTACAAACTGAGCTGCCATTTCAGAATGACTTCGCAGAAAGGATTCTCATGCTTAAAAAGCAGTAACTTGGGCTGCGGAGACTGCTCAGTCAATAAATTGCTTGCCACACAAGCATAGGGACTGGTATTTCACCCCTCAGACCCCATATTTAAAAGAGCCAGACATGGCAGTGTGTACCTGGAACTTCAGTGCTGGGGTGGGGTGGGGTGGGTGGGGTGTTGGACAGAAACAAGAGATCTCTGGGGCTCAGTAGCCAGTCTCTTAGTAAGTCCTAGGTTCTAGGTCCAGGGAGAGAACCTTTCTAAGAAAAGCAAGGTAGAAAGCAATTGAGGAAGAACATTGGACATTGACCACTGGCCTCCACACATGTCCATGAATGTGGGGAGCCAGCACACACACGGGCGTATACACACACACACACACACACACACACACACACACACACACACACACACGGGTGGAGGGTGGGGAGTAAGAACATGGTAAGTTTGCAAACAACTGCTCCATCCTGCCAGTAAGAACCTTACAGTCCCACAGAGCAGTCTGTATCCACCGTAGTGTCTGTTCCAGGGCCCTCCTTTATTTATGCACTGGATACTGCATAAATATTTGTAGGAAGGTTGAATAGTTCTATTTATTATATGGCTCCAATTAAGTTCTCAGTTGCTTGGCTCAGCAACCTAACAGTTTTTACAAGCAGCTAAACACCAACAGCCTCCGCCTCAAATCTCAAACCCACAACAGAGAACAGAGCGGCCAACTCTCCACGGAACATGCTGACATTTCTCCTTGGGGTTAGATATACTGTGCGAGCGCCTAATGACTGATAAATATAAGCAAATGTGGATTGCATCAAGCAGGAAGAGCCCAGCATTCTTCAGCAGCACAGGCCTTCTAGCTAATATTTGGATTGTTTCATCTGAAACTGTCAATTCACAAGAGCATGGTAAAAATGAGGAGGAACCTCCCAGTAAGCAGGAACTGGCCCTTTGTCAATAAGTTAGAAGAGACAAGGTACCCTGCTATCAAAATGCTCAGCTGAATGCCTGCAGCCTGGGCATGAGGCTCACAGAGCCCGCACCCCCAGGCAGATCTCCTAGAAGCTCAACTGCAGAACCCTTTTCTCTCCAAGGATCTCCCTCCCAGGCCCAGGTTTCTAGCCCCAAAGCTGGTGCCCACAGAAACCTGAGTACTGGAAGGACCTGGGAGTCTGATGCAGCAACACCTTCAGATTTCACCTTACTGGCTGGCTCTACAACTCTGGGTTGTCACTCAAACTCCTCAGTCCCCAGACACTGAGCATATCATCCCTGCTTTATCAACTCCTTAGAGCCACCACCACCTTGATGTGAATCCCGACTCTTTGCCCACTGCTTCTGGAGCCCGGGGAAAGCATCCTGTCTCAAGCGAGCCTCTATCTCCTGGCCTCTAAGAGGAGAATAATCCTAGCGCCTGTCTCAGATGTCAGCAGGAAGCGGCAAGAGCAGCGCCCGGCATGCCATGGGCACACAATGAGCCCGAGGGATGACTTCACCTCGGTTTGGAAATCAAGAGTTCTGAAAAGCAAGTTTTTGTCTTTGCCTTTTTATTATGTTTTGGTGACAATACTCACTGGGCAGGAAACATGGTCTTCACTGGTTTAGGCTATTTAGAGTCTTATCGTTATTCTATTTGGTGGAGGCATTCACGGTTCCTTGCAGAAACAATCCTGTGTTTGGTCATGGAGGCTATGCCGCATCCTACAGGCATTGTTAACCATATGTGAAATGCATCCCGAATTCTTTCTCTAAAACGTGGACAACTTGTGATTATCCAGGTCTGTTTAGGAGACCACACTGTTTAGCAAGTCTCTGTGTCTTGTGTCCTGTCTTTAAATCCACACAGCCTGTGACTAGTGGCTTCTAATCCCCTGCAGCACAGTGGTGCCATCTTGGCACCCAGGTGTCTTAATTAGGATTACTGCGGCTGTGATGAAACACCATGACCAAAAGCAACTTGGGAAGGAAAGGGTTCATGTTTCAGTCACCACTCCATGTAACAGTTCATCATTAAAAGGAGTGAGGGCAGGAACTCAAGCAGGGCAGGAACCTGGGGGTAGAACCTGGAGGCAGGAGCTGATGCAGAGGCCATGGAGGGGTGCTGCTTACTGGCTTGCTCCTCATGGCTTGCTCAGCCTGTTTTCTTATAGAACCCAGGACCACCTGCCCAGGGATAGCACCACCCACAATAGGCTGGGCTCTCCCCATCAATCACTAATTAAGAAAACACCATACAGCCAGATTGTATGGTGGCGTTTTCTCAACGCAGGCTTCTCCTTTCATATGACTCTACCTTGTGTCCAGCCAGCAGACAGGGTCCCCTCCTCCTCTCCCACCTTCACAGGTCTCCCTGAGGTGTGACATCTAATGGCTTCTCAGAATTTCCTTCACTTTTAAAAGTAATTTTACAATCAAAGAGCAGGATAGGAGTGGCCTTGGTTACTGCAGTGGCTGCAAAAATAAGTCAGGAGCTAAGTGGGGGCTGGGGAAGTGTCTCGGTGAGTAGAGCAACTGTCTGCAAGAGGAGGACCTGACTTCCATCCCTAGGAACACACTTAAGGGGTTGGGGAGCAAAGCCAGGTGGAGCTGGGGAGGAGGAGACAGGTGGAATCCTGGAGGCTCCTGATTGGTCAGCCTCACCAAATCAGTGAGTTTCTGCCAAGTAAGGGACTTTTTTTTTTTTTTTTCCAAAAAACCAAAGGGTAGACTTGGCCTCACACCAGATGCTGTTCTTTGGTCTCCACTGGCCTCCACAGGCACATTTATGCACAGAAGGGGTGAAGGCAAGAATTCCTCCCACTCTGCACAACGAAGGCAGTGGCTTCATTGTTGTCCAAGGCAGGGACAGACACAGGGTCCATGGCACATGCACATACCTTCTCTCTGAGGGTTCTCGGCCCCGGGACTGCGGGTGTCGGCTGCCTCGCACCACTGTGGGGCCTGGGCGGCTGGCGTCGGAGCCCACCAGGGCCCGTTGCTCCTCACGGCTTCGATGCAGCGGTACTGAAGTGCGAACAGCGGACACAACGTGGCCAGCAAAGGGCAGCGTAGGGCCACTGGGCCGCGAGCCTCCGCGGCCACGGTAGGAGCTGGGCAGGCAGGGCCGCGTCTGCTCCATCACACCACCGCTGCAGCTGCGCGAGCAGGCAGACCAGGGGCCCCAGGAACCCCAGACTCCTGGGGAGCCACCGCTGCTGTCCTCTGGGGTTCCATCTGCTACTGCCATCCGCTGCGGGACCTGCAGAGACAGAGGATGAACAGGATCTGAACCTGAGAAGCTTCGGGCAGGGCTAAGTTTCTCTACTGGACCCATGTGGACACAAGGGTACAATAAAGGGCCGGGCGGTGGTGGCGCACGCCTTTAATCCCAGCACTCGGGAGGCAGAGCCAGGTGGATCTTTGTGAGTTCGAGGCCAGCCTGGGCTACCGAGTGAGTTCCAGGAAAGGTGCAAAGCTACATAGAGAAACCCTGTCTCGAAAAACTAAAAAAAAAAAAAAAAAAAAAAAACACTAAAAAAAAAAGAATCAAGACGGAGTGCGTATAATTCAGCCTGGGTCACAATCTATACCAACTCAGTCATAAGAGACAATTTAAGTGCCCAGAAGCCAGGAGAGTCACAGTAGAGTCATGGCTTTGAGAACTGCGATGACGAATCTTTATTATCAACTTGACTGGATTTAGAATCACCATGGAAACTCTCATCTGTGCGGGTTTTTCTAGATTAAGATACAGTAGGAAGGCCCACCCCATGCGAGGATGGCACTATGCCATAGCCCGGGGTCACTGACAAAACACAGAAAGGCAGTCGAGCAGCTGCACGCAGCATTGATCCCTCCCTGCTTTCTGACTACACCCAAGATGCAGCCCATTTCCTCCCTCTCCACCATGGTGGGCTGCACCCTCAAACCATGTGTCAAATAAACCTTTCATTAAGTTGATTTTGTGGGATATATGTCCCAGCAATGAGGGAAGTAGCTAATACGTGAGTTGCGGTCTCAAAGAGCAGGTATGGAGTCTTCAGGAGTCCTGCTCTTCAACTTCCAGCTGGATGCCTTCCCCCTCAAACCAGAAGGCCTGGGCTCCCTTTAGCTGCAGAGAAACTGGCCCATGTCTCCCTTCAGGAAAAGCAAGGGCTGGAACTGTTTGGAGGCTGTGCCCCTGAGCCAGGCTGCTGGGACACACACACACACACACACACACACACACACACACACACACACACACACACACCCCTACCACCTCCTCCTGTTAAACATGACCAGGAAGCTTCTGAGCCCCCAACGCCAGTAAATTTGCTAAGAGAATGGTCCCAGCGCCTTCGAGGTCTTAAGTGAGGTTGTCCTTGCACACAAAGTTTGGCTTTGAGAACGTGTTAGCAAGCAATCATGATCACTTTCCTGCTTCCATACACACCAGAAGTGGGCAACATCACAGTACACAAGCTCTAGCCAGAGTAATTCCACACTTTGTTGAGCTGGTCTTTCCAGAGACCTGCCATGCGAGGCACTGTGCTGAAAGCCTCTCCAGAGAAGTTCCTTTGTAATGCAGGCATGAACTGAAGTTCCAAGACAAAAGGCTGCATACATGTTAAGATTCTGCAAGGCTGACTGACCAACCTGAACTTCTGTGATTTCAGAGAGCTGGAATGTTGCAGTGACAGACCTTGGGGTAACCTGGGGTAACCTTGGGTTACCATTACCATAGCCATTCCTTGCTCCCCTCTGAATTTGATCTAACATCCTTGGGTCAAATTCTTTTTAGAATGTACAAAGAGACCCCCTAACTTCCACCAACCCAAAGGCTAAGAATGTCACTAGATCACCTCTTAGGCTTATAGACTTGGCTGTGACCCACCTACTGATGTTCCCACCAATGGATTTTAAATTTACCTTGTTTGTTTTTTTCCTGTTACTATAAAAAAACATCACAAATGTTTGAACATCGTGTTGGGATAACCTGAATCTGTTTTCCTGGACCATGGCCACTTACACTTAGCTCCAGAATAAACTATCTCTTCTTTCCATTGAAGAGGCAGCTATGTTTTTCCCTCAACAAAGCCACATTCTGAGCACCAGCTGTATACCTGGCTCAGAATCAGGCCGTCTCCTACTGTATTTCTGTTGCTGTGATAAAATACCCTGACAGAGCCGGGCAGTGGTGGCGCACGCCTTTAATCCCAGCACTCGGGAGGCAGAGCCAGGCGGATCTCTGTGAGTTCGAGGCCAGCCTGGGCTACCAAGTGAGTTCCAGGAGAGGCGCAAAGCTACACAGAGAAACCCTGTCTCGAAAAACCAAAAAAAAAAAAAAAAAAAAATACCCTGACAGTAAGCAACTTAGGGGAAAATAGGTTTGTTTTTGATAAAACTGCAGGTGAATTATTACAAGCCAAAACAGCAGGAATATGAAGCAGCTAATCACATCATATCCATGCTTAAGAGCAGAGAAAGATGAATTGATGTAGGCACATCTACTAGAACTTACTTTCCCCGTTCTTATACAGCCCAGAGCCCAAACTCAGGTATAGTGTCATCGACAGTGGACGGGGTCATCCCATATCAGTTATCGTAATCAAGAAAACCCTCCATGAGAAGACTCACACAATCAAGTAACCTGGGCTCTTAGGGGCTCATAGAGACTGAACCGACTACCAGGGAGCCTGCATGAGACTGACCTAGGCACTCTGCATATATGTGACAGTTGTGTAGCTTGGTCCTCTTAAGGGACTCTGAACAGCAGGATCAAGGGCTGTCTCTGACTCTTCTACTGGCTTCTGGGACCCTACTCCTCACACTGGGTCTCCTTGCCCAGCCTTAATACACAGGGAGGTGCTTAGTCTTACTGCAACTTGATATGCCAAGTTTTACTGATACTCATAGGAGACCTGCCCTTTCCTGGATGGAGATGCAAGAGGGGGGGATGAGGGGTGGAAGGGAGGTAATTGGGGAGAAGGACTGGGAGGGGAGGATGGGAGAGGAGGCTACTGCCAGGATGTAAAATAAATAGATAAATAAAAAAAGAAAGAAAGAAAAAGAAAAAAGAAGACCCTCCTTGGACATGCCCCCAGGCCCACCTGATCCTGATAAATCCTCACTGAGACCTTCTTCCCAGATGATCCGAGAGTGGGTCAAGCTAGCAAGCTAACCACATCAGGCCCTGGCAACAGAGGAAAGCACCCAGGTCCACAGGAGCGGCCACCCAGCAGGTTATGTTGTCAACACACGATGAGAAGGCTCCTAGGAGGGACTGGCTGCCTTGGCTGGAGGGATGAAGTGGGAAGCTTCAGAAGGCCTCCCAGGGTAAATAAGGGAATTCCAGCCGAGGTGTGACTGCTAAGCACCTACTGAATGTCTAATTGCATACACAATATTTATTTATATTTTATGTATGAGTGCTCTGCATGTATACCTGCATGCCAGAAGAGGACATCAGATCCTATTATAGATGGTTGTAAGACACCACGTGGTTGCTGGGAATTGAACTCAGGACCTCTGGAAGAGCAGCCAGTGCTCTTAACCCCTGAGCCATCTCTCCAGCCCCCACAATCTGAGTCTTAAGCCTGTCCACCAATCTCCTTGTATGGGAGGGAAACTGAAGCTCAGAGACACTATGTGGCTAGCCCCCGAGTTACTATACTGGATTCAGACATAACCAGTTTTCAAAACTTGCTCTCTTCCCAGCAGACATGCCCTTCCAAAGCATCATCCTAGAATGCCTTTCCTATCCCTGGAGCACTGAGCCAATCTTTGGCTTTCTGTAGAACATGGATTCTTTTCAACAAGCCATGGGCTTATCTATGTAGTATCAAGACACCTACAGATAGTCATGGCTCTTTGTTCATTTGTGTTTTTACTGACCTTGGCTTTGACCAGCTCAAACGTCTTACCCAAGTGATGAAGCAGTCCCGGAATTATCTGGAACAAACTTGACAAGACTGACTCCCAGCATGCCACGTGGTGTCACGCATGATGTCACCTATGAGTGATGGCACTAAGCCCGTCTCACAAGGGGCTGTGAGAACTGACCAGGAACCTGCCTAATAAGCACTCCAGCTGTTCCCATGGTCACTAAAAGGCAGGGCTCAGCTCTTAAGCAGAGCTCTTGCCTCAGGTAATCAGTTACCATGAAGCTACTGATGTGTCATTGAGGTCACCTTCCTTTAATAAAACTGTAGAGTTGAGTCATCTCAAATCATCTTTATAGTTTAAGTTGGCTCCTGAAGGTTCTGGAAGTAACGAGGGCAGGATGGAATAAAAGCAGCAGCTAAGCAGAGGGGCAAGGAGTTTGTCACACTGAAGTCATTGGCAGACCTCAGCTGGCATCAACAATCCGATTTAGGGAAGCTATGTTCGGAGGTCTAAAGTCAGGGTAGAGGTGACATGGGGTGAGCCAGCCGCAGACAGGGTCAAAGCAAGAAGAAGGCGGACATGAGAGGAGGCGGGTCTGGGTGATGGCTGGGAGCTGCTGAGTAGAGGGCTGTGGTTCTGCCCTCAGACAGAGTACACGAGCCGTCCCCACTGCACTGAGCACCCGGACAGAGGGTTTCTGTTTAGGAACACAGGGCAAGGGAAAGAAAGGAGGGCCAGGGTCTGATGAAGCAGAAAACACAGAACTGGGGAAAAGGCAATGTAACCACCCAAGCAAAGAGTGCAGGGGTGTGGCCAAAGCCACAGGGGGCCTGAAGTCACCGCGTGCTGAAGAAGAGGAGAAGAGGTCTCCACCAGGGACTTGGGAAAGCACACATGGCTGGTGACAGCTGGCCAGCAGAACGGTGAAGTCACCTCTGTTGTTTCATGCCATGAAGTCTGTAGTGATCTGTCCCAATAACAGAGAGCACTGGACTTCAGGGACAGGGCAGCAAAGTATACCAGTGGCTCTGACCACAAGCCTTCTCCCTGATGGACACATGTGAATGTAAGTCAGATCCACGGCAGGACAGAGGCAAGCTACCACCACCCAGGTCATGTTTTTAGAGTCCCCCGGTGCCCCATCAGCTACCTGGGAGGTTGGTGCTCTTCTGCTCAGTGCAGAGGGAAGAAACTGAGGTTCCAAGAAACTGTGTGACATGCTATGTTGTTAGGCTATCGAGAGTCACAGAGCAGCCTACAATCCAGTTCTCCATTCCCCTGGTCTCCTGGGCATTTTCCTCCTGCATGATACTGCCACCCTGCCTGTACTGCTGGTGGAAAAAACAGGGGCAAAAGGAGGGGTAATTCCACGTGTATGGTTTTTCTAGTGCA